ATATTTTGTTTTTGGTGTATTTTGTTTTGTTTTTAGTGCATTTTGTTTTGTTTTTAGTGTATTTTGTTTGGAAGTCGGTTTTGTTTTTTAGCTTGCTCCTTTGGCACCTTATACTATTAAAAACACCTTAAAACATAAAGCATGACCAGATTGTCACCATATGTAAAGTGACGTTCTGATGTTTTGATGCAATACACTGACCTAGTAATAGCCTATTCACTTAACTCTTCAAGACGCCTACGTTAATAACAAACGGGAAAAGAGAAGCCGTTAGATCTGTTGTTGAACGTAACACAAAAAAGACATTTCTTCATCTTTAAGGTGAATTGATAACGAAAAAAATGATTTCGTACTGTATCCAGGCGAGGTCAAAAAACATTGTCGTAACAATTTTTGTACCACAACACATGAAAAAGAAATATCGGGCTATTATTTTATTTGATTTTTTTTTAGTTTTGAATACTTAAGTAATGTTAGTACCGTCCTTTTCACCGCTATTTCTCGTAACTGTCTATTACATAAAGTCTTTAAATTCTTCTTAGTCATAATAATTTATGAAAGTAACGGTGACAACTAAGGTTACGTGTCGTACGTGTTAAGTGTAGTGTAAACTGAAAATTAGTCATAAACTGACTCGATGACGTCACACGTATTTAGCTATGCATTGAGAGGATCAGGACATTCGGCAATAAATTCGATTTGCCTTGAAATGGATAGACCAAGGCTGATTACCTAATCAATTCAGGTAGTAAAATAAAAGTTATTTATTACTATTGTAAACTTTGTAAGTCTATTTTGTGCAATTAATATGATTAGTACCAGTAAAATTTCAGATTTCTTTCCATATAAAACAGAGTAACTGTACTATGGTTACTAGTTCTAATTGAACATCAAATTTCCACGATTCAGACTCTTAGAAGGTATACTTTTTTATTGCTGGTTTCTTTGTGTTTTATTTTCATTGGTTATTTGTTCTAGCTCGTTGATTATAAAAAAAAATCGCAAAACATTTCAAATATAATATAACTTTTATATGTCAAAAAGAAATACTCAAAGAAAAAAGCATTAACGTATGGAATGAAATAAAAAGATGAATAAATATTGTAGGAAGTATTTAATTAAATGCATTTTCATTTCTGATGCTTATATTCGTGTCACGTACTTTTATTGTCGCTGACAGCTTCTGTGCGGTGTGCGGCGTTCGGAGTGCGGCGTGCGGTGCGCGGGACTGTCTGCGAGCCTAGACGTGGAGGTAGCACCTACAATAAAGACGTGACGTACTGTTTGCAAACGTAACTAATAATTCCTTACCTTATCTTATTTATTCAGTATTCAATAACTTAGATAAAAGAAAGAAAAGGAGGAACCACCTTATAAATAAATGATCAATTATATGTTAACTTTGAAACATAAATATGATATTTCTCATTTCTCATAAGGTAATATTGAAAAAAAAAATCAACTTTCCAGTTCGTTGCAGTGTCGCTGCATAATGCTCATTCGGTTAATATATTTACAAGCTATATTCGTATAATATAAGCGATGATCTAAAAGATTGCGATCGGGACCGTATTCAGCGGCGCGGCTCAAGGAGGACCGGAATATTCCGGAGCCGGAACAAACGCGCTTGGATAATGCGCGTCTTAACGCGTCTCGCTGCGTCGCGTGTTTCTGCAGGTCCTGCAAATAAATCACTTTTAAATTAGTCCACATCTGAATTCAAACGAAATTATCTTTATCTAAGTATTCACAAAAATTATTTTACTATTATTATAAATGCGAAAGTTTAGATGGATGGATGGATGTTTGTCAGAGTTTGTAACTTAAACGGCTGAACGGATCTCGGTGAAATTTGGCAAAGATATAGAGGATAGACTGGAAGAACACATAGCCTACTAACTTTTTTTTTAATTCCTCGCGGACGGAGTCGCGGGCGAAAGCTAGTAATAGATAATTATATAATTTGCAGAAGGTACAATAGTACCATAGTAAGATGAAAAGTGTATAATAATACATTTTTCATCTTGCATACATACTTATCTTTTGTTAGGTCAATTTTCTATTTCACATCATTTTTGTAAATTTAATCGTTTTGTAAAACAGGTTATATGCATTGGAAAATTCCCACGACGCATTAAACAATCATAAACTGCAGAACAAACTACCTTAACACGTCATTGTCGGTTCAAAACGAGTTTGTTTATCTAGAAATAATTTAACTCTAAAGTCTTACCTGCTTTTGGAATATCAAATTAAAATAAATATATAAATCGTGTAGTCTGGGCGCGGTTCGTCGCGTCGCGAATGCGAAGCCATTCTGATAATAATACTTCGAAAGCTGTCTTTACAATGTGAACAAGCTCGTTGCGAGCGCGTTATGTAAAATAGCGGAAAATTAATTAAAAAGCATCTGAAATAAAACATTGAAAGTGAAAATTTATTACTTTTTATTTAACATTAAAATAAGCAAGTCCAAATTCAGTCAACTATAAATAATTCCACTCAACGTCTACAGGACACTGCCAGCGGAGTTTATTAAATGAATACGCTGAATGCTGCGAAGGACAATGCATTGAAAAAGAAACATATTCAGTATATTGTTTTGGTTTGTTTTATTTGGTTCAAATTGTTCAAATACCCCTAATGTAATGCTTTACACTATAAATGTTAAAAATATTAACATTAGAAAAAGTAATATATCCAGATTTTAAAATCGACGAGAGATGAAAGCATCAATAAAGTTTATTACTAACAATGATTTAGCCAATGGAGTCTAACACAATGAATCTTTCAAACTTTTGTTACAGATGCCAAGCTTTAAGCGCCTCGGGCATGCTAACAGCAGCGCGGTCTTATGATTTTGAGGCCATTGTAAGTGGTATGGCAATTGTTGGTCATATGACTGTTATACGTGATGTACTCTTCTCTTAATCTTTAATACAAATTTTAGTATGCTGGATGTACGCACTGGCGTAACTGAATATTGACGAGTTGCAGGAAGTATACCCGTCGGTTTCCATTGCCGAAACATATTACGGAAATTCATTTCGGAAAATTAGGAAGATAATATATTTTTGTCTACGAATTTCGGTAGTCGATGTTTCAGGTAATGTTAACACTAAATTGTAAATTACAAACATCTTTGGTTCTTTCTCGTTATTAATTTAGCTTATCGCTTTTATAAGTGTTTATGAATCATAAAATAACTACCGCAATTATGTTAACTACTTGTATGGACGTTAGCTTGATATAAAGGCAAAAACTTGGCTTCCGCACCTGAGCACCGTGATTTACTATTTTATAACACCATTCACATTTCCAGTTTGCTACGTACATTAATATCGCGTATAACTCTTCTAAAACTGGGTCTGTAATTAATTGAGATTTTAAATGACCCGGAAAGAAATAATTTATGATCGATACAATAATATATTATGATAAATTTAACTAGTAAATTAAACACAGACGAAACCAGTTTAATTGTGTCACATAGTACAAGTTATGCGAGAACGAGTTGACAATAAAAAAAAGAAATAAAAAAAGCGAAAATAGTACGTGTTTAATTGAAGTCGATTTTTATAGAATCGAGTAAACATGTTTATATGAAAATTGGTTTTAATTATCATATACATTAAAAAAAATCACATTTAATGATTAAAATAAAAATACGTACAAGAACAAGGAAACGTTGTGCTGTTCTAGTGGTTTCCACCTAAGATGTAACGGGCAAGAGTTGATTAAGGCATGTACATTTTTGTATGAAAACTTACAGAGTACGCAATAAATAAAATTTTGAGCTTGTAATCTTACTTCATACTAATATTATAAATGTGAAAGTTTAGATGGATGGATGGATCTTTGTAAGAGTTTGTAGCTTAAACTGCTCAACGGATCTCAATGAGATTTGGCACAAATGTAGAGGATAGATTGGAAGAACACATAGGCTACTTGGTTTCGTCTCTTTTAAATACCAAGCGGATGGAGTCGCGGGCGAAAGCTAGTTATGTACATAATTGACAGTATACAGTATAGTTAAGTTTAGATCATTTAAATCCTGCTTCGTTGGTGATGTTCAAAGATTTATTCTAATTATGTGTAAAGGGGCCAGCTGAAACCCAGCGCAGTAATGGCCTGCGCCGTCCCTGCATTAGCTGAGCTTGCCACCTTTTGCCACATTTCTCTCTTTCTTTATATCTCTTTTAAGCTCTAAGGTGTTGTGTATTAAATGTTTTATGTAGTTTTTTTGTGGCCATAAAAATTCTTATTACCAATATGTGTGAATTACCACTATGAATTTAGAAGAGCAACGTTAGAGTTAGAAGATTATACTCGTATTATAATATAAATGAGAAAAACTCTAACATTAAACAATATAAATGGAAAAAAAAATAAAGCATCTTTGTTCTTCCTTTTTATCTTAAATTGCCCGAGCTTTGTATCGTAATTAGATACATCTTTACGAACAATAAAACTACTTAATATAGATCAAATAATGCATAGACATAACATAATAGACCTATTATATTGATTACAATAATCGTTAGTACGCGACACTTCACTTGCATATTCCTCTATTATTATTGAGTATAACGCTTTCACTATCACCCAAGTGACGATGTGACAGCATAATTAAGCCGAATATAATCACGCACGTCGCGTGTACGCTGGACAAAAAGAGCGGTCGTGACCCCGGCACCGGCACACCACTGCCGGATGTAACGAAAGTGCCCATCACTGCCTCGCCCGCGGCGACTCCAACCGTAGTAATGCAGCTTGAGTTATATGACAACTAATTCTTCTTATTCATCAAACTTCAGATTCCATCCTATATTTACAACCCGTCTGATGTGGTTTAATTTAGAACACAGTGTATCGAAGCTTAATTATCTAATTTCGAAATTGTTCAGCAATTCCTGATTTTTTTAACATTTTCCTGATCTTTATTGTAAACATAATTAGTGCAAATCTAGTGCAAATGTTAATGGATTATATTTGCGGTGATAGTTTCTCGATATAAGTTTGTGAGCGGTATAATTTTTCGCAAAGCGCACGCTTTCGTCCGGTATCGAGGGCGCATCGGTTGGGCGCGCTCGTACCGCCGCCGCAGCGCCGTGTAGTGGGCGAGGTTAAGCGATTGCTTAGATCCGCGTTCACCTCTCATTGTGTAACAGAGAGCGCGAGGCGAGGGGCCGAGGGGCGCGGGACGGGCGCCGTGGGAACCGCCGAAAGCTCGCTATGCGCCGCTTCCGCCGACATACCCGAATTAACCTAACGATGCACCTCATACAATCCGTAAACTTACCACGCTCTTAACACAAATTGATTCGCTCATTATCTTTAGTTACACGAAATTATTATGTCTACGCTTAAACGTATCGAATTTCGAAAACTGCAAGTAGCAATGTCTGAATGTAAGCCGTTATGCTTTCGAACACGCTATCATTATATTTAAGTATTACTCAGTGATTTACATAACCCTCGAGGTATGGAAGTTTGTAAGAGAAATAAAATTGAATACCGTTTCTAGACTAATGCATAAGATGGAAACCGAGGGAGTAGTTGACTTCGAATGTAGTCTAAGTTAGACGATGATTTTTTGTCTGATAAATCACGGATAATGTACTTTACTTTGTTCTTTTTTTATATAGTATAAGGGGCAAACGAGCAGCGGATCGCGTAATGGTATATTTAGATAAAAGTCAATAGGAGCTAGTTGCAGTAGTAAGGAAGATGATTATACAGTCGATAACATTACCGGCGTACAGAGACCGATGTTATGTTGAGAGCTTACAAAGGGCTCTTTGAAATTTATTATATGAATTGGTATTGTTTTGTAATTGTTTCAAAACGGTTCGGGGCAATTTAATAATTCATAAGTCGTTCCCGGCGGCGGCGTAGTGCTGTTCGCGCGAAGACAGCTGAATAGGGCAGTGGTGGCGGGCCGTTAGCGGGGGCCGGGGTGCTGCGGGGGCAGCGGGGCGAGGGCGCCGGGGGCGGAGCGCCCGAGCGCGCCCTGACCTGCGACCTGCGGTGAAAGGCGCCGCGCACGGGCCGCGCGGCGACATAGCATCGCGCCGTGCAATCAACGTATTCTCTTAGCACCTTTATCGTCCGTGAAAATTTCTGCCCATGCTTCGTTACGGTAGCGCAACTTTTAACGGACTTTTTGTTTTATAAAAGTAAGTGAAATACGTTTTTAAAAGCATGTTGCATCCTCAACTCAAGTTCATGACACAATTTTGTAAAAAAAAAAAAACATTACTACGAACTGTAAAACAAGTTTTTGTATAATTAGTTTCTGAAGTGATTTTTCCGCTTAATTATTAATAAAAAATCGCCAACACCTAAAGCCTCTTAAACTTTTTCAACGCTCATAATATTTACAAATAGTCACGATAGTTAATTTCTCTTATTACGTTCATGGCACGAATTCATAATAATTCCATTGCAACATATAATTTGTTGTTACGAATAAAATAATATTATTAATGTAATTGAAAACAAACACATTTGAACATTGGCTGTATGAAAAGAGTACGGATCATTACAATGTTACTTTCACTTACCTGTTAAATAAATCTCAAAGCAACGCTTACTAAACCAAAATGAAGATTGATGAACGTAACAGAACGTACGGTGATTAGAGAACAATATAATTCTTTATAATTTAGTTCTCATCATCGTATATTTAGCTTAAATACGAGGTGAAATTAATGAAAAAAAAAACTTCGAAAACACGCAAGATATTGAATAACTGTTACGTGTTGCAATTAATAGCAATGAGTCATAGGTCATGTTTAAAAATATCTGAAGTTTTTTTTTCTTTAATTTGTAAAGTCCTCATCGTTAAGTCGTTTTGTAATAGATTAATGGTCAACCCAATTAGCGATGTGAAAGCTATGTTGTTAGCGCATTTCACTGGAGATAAACCGATACCTGTACACATGTATAAACAAACACTTGTTAAGTAAACTACGGAAAACACGTAACGAATCTTACTGTATAACTTGATTAGCTTTTGCTCTGGACTTTGATTGCGTCGAATTAAAAAATTGGTAGTCTATGTGTTATGTTCTACATTTGTGCTGAATTCCAATGAGATCCGATAAGCCGTTTAGGAGTTACGTAGTACCATTCATCCATACATCCATCCAACTTTCGCATTTATATTAAGTATGAAGAATGATTTGACTGACCCTTATAAAAAAACAAACGATATACAAAAAATAGATTAAGATCCTATTGTTATTTTATTTAGACTATTTACAAGTATTAGGCAAGTTTTAATATACTCATCAATAACGTTATACTATTTCATGTTTTACATAAAGTAATCGAAATATCGCAAATTAACATATAAAGCATTCTTGCGACATTTTGATGCATGATAAATACATTCAGATGACAAAAGGTAATATTTCATCGACTGTTGCAAAGTAATTAAATAAACTAGCTAATATCTAATTTAGACTTGTTTTTGAACAGAGATATTAAAAAAAAATAGAGGAGACAGTTGATAATTCACTTGAAACATTTTTCACATAATCTCACTAACTCGTTATATAGATAGATCCTGAAAAACTACATATCAATTAATATATTCAGTTGCATTAAAATAAATTGCTAATAGTTGTCATTAAACAACATTTTAATGTTTAAATTTTATTTTGTAAAACTGCTATAGTACTTTTCAGAGAATGAACCGGTGAAAATATTTTGACTATGCCTTGTCTATATATTTTTTTAATGTCTTTGTTTTTGAATGGCATATTATTATCGAGTTTTAAGATGTCACCGATGCCTGCTGGGCATAGGATTTGAAATTAAGGTTGAGGTAATAATCACCGATTGATATATTGATTGTAAAAAAGGCGATAACGCGT